CAAATAAATTTTTAAAAAATAAGATGTTAAATTATGTTCTTGACTTATTTGAGTTGACTCCTAAAGACACAAATTCCTCTTCAATATGTTGGGTTGAGCCACGTCATCTCATGTGACAGAGTTTTGAACTTTGAAAACCCTCACATCAATTTTAACGAATTTTATACATAACAGATGATAGATTGGATGTATTTTGCTGATAAAATCTTCAAACAGGCCCTTTTAAACACCTTCTCCTATCGAATAGCTATATACACCGTTGCATTTTAGTTATGTACATATAGCAATGTATTCTACAAGATGCGGAAGATGAAAAATTATGTTTTAAGAGAAGTAAAGGGAGGTCAAAAAACTTAATTTAGAGAAATTATTATCGAGAAATAATTTAATTTTGGGAAAATTCCAGAAAAGGTCCCTCGAATATTTGAAATCTCAGATTGGGTCATGAAATTTTCAAAATGACAGAAAGGGTCAGTGACCCAATCTGTCATTTGGCAAATCAAGAGGAATTGACAATTTTGCCCTCATTTGTATTCATTCACTACAATAATTTAAGAAATCACTATAAGGGTTTAAGCATTACCTAGATTCATGTAGTGAATAACTACTCGTTTTTTCATATTCAGGTGTCTTGTTATTAACTACAACTAATTTTGTAATCACTAGAACAATGTAAGTATTACTAGATTCGTGTAGAGAATAACTACTCATTTTTTGATAGTCAGGCACCTTATTATTAACTACAACTAATCTTGTAATTATTAACTACAACTAATCTTGTAGTCATTAAAACATTGTAAGCGTTACCTAGATTTGTGTAAATAATAACTACTCACTTAGTCAGGGGCAAAATTGTCAATTGGTCTTAATTTCACAAATGACAGATTGGGTCACTGACCCTTTCTGTCATTTTGAAAATTCCAGGACCTAATCTGGGATTTCATATATTCGAGGGACTTTTCTGGAATTTTCCCTTTAATTTTTTCAAAGGACATGTGTATCAACTAATAATGTTTACATGTCATTGTCATTTCTATTTACATGCACATCATAGTTGCAAATTTCTAAGATGCCGTTGGAAGATGTCGAAGCCGACAAAATTTGAAGACTTTACAGACCCTGACTCAGAAGTTCATAAATTGATATTTACGTGCCTCAATATATTTACATTCTTTGATTTTAAAGTTAGTTATTTGTAATAAATATCAGTTAATTTTTTTAACATATTCTTTTTAATTATGCTTACTTGTGTTTGGCTCAACGGAGAGAAGGGAAAGAGAGGAAAGGAGAGGGTAGCTACAAATGGGAGAGGAGGGAGAGGGAAGGGAGGGAAGATATTTTAATGATCTCCTATTTGGATTGATTGGAGGGGAGGGGACAGAGCAATTTTAATGATATCTTATTTTGTTTTGATAAAAAATTAACTATTTTAACCTCATAAAATTTAAATGAATTTTCTCACTTTTTTATTTTATTAAGATATAACTATATATATAATGCAACTCACCAATTTTGACTTACAAGAAACAGTCATACACTTATAGGATATCAAGATAAAAAGTCAGGAGTGATAGATTTCAATCAAATAAAAGACCTTGAAGGTGAAAGAAAATACCGACGGCCTCTTGGAATTAGAAGAAGAGGGGGAAAAAAAGTTCACAAATGCTCACTAATTTTCGAGACAATTATCTCAACAACTTCTTGTTAGATGTTCAAGAAAACTCTCTTATGTAGAAATATTTATGATTGATTGGGGGGTTAACAAATCAAAAGGGTATATGAGGAATTAAAATATTATCTCTCATCTCTCTTCTAAAAAACCCCACTTTTGGAGGGGAAGCTAAGAGGGAAGAGAAGGGAAAAGAACCCTCCCCTCTTTAAAAAATATCCTAACCAAACAAGAGAAAGGGAGCAACTCCTCTCTCTTTCTAAAAAATTGCACTAGCCAAATAAAGAAAGGGGAGCGTCTTCCCTCCCTTCCCCTTCAAAAACCCCATACCAAACAGTGTTAGATGGAAACATCCTTAATAAATGTAATCAATATGAGATATCTTGGAGAATAAATTATAAATTTGAAAGACAAAATAAATTAAAATCTTATATTTATAACCAAATTCACCCCACTAACTTGTATATTAAAGAGTGAAAATATATTAAATTATGCAAATAATGTATCTAATTTGTTTAAAAATCAATAAGGAATTTTAAAATTTATAAATTTGGATAGAAAACACATTTGCTTTTCATTAATACATTACTTCACAACCATCGCAATATCATCTTTCATCAAGCACAAACTTAATAAATTTTACTCTTTTTTCTTCTGTGTTGTCATCTCTGAACTCGAGTTATAAAGCTAATATTTTGACTACATAAAAAAAGTTTTTTTAAAAGTTTTCTTAAGAAATAAATGGATATTAAATTGGGGGGATTAAAACAATTTTTTTTTTGGCTATTAATTGAATGACGCGCTAAGAGGTTTGGAAATGAGAAAATGGTCCTCCATGGTGGAAGCGTCCAGCACGCTATGGTGTCTGGTGACGGTGAATGCGAGACTTTTCTCCTCCCTTTAAACATAACTTACAATATCTATCTCCGGGTTCTTAATATAAAAAATTATATAATAGATTCTTTTTAGTTTTAAATATAGGGGGAATTTCACTGTAGGACCGTAGAAGACAATTAATATCAAAGAGCCCCCAAAACTTTCTAAAACCTCACTGCAGGACCAAGGGGCCAATCTGATATTAATTTTTAGAGTGAGATTACAATAATACCCCTCCTTTTTCATTTTATTAAAAAATAAATATTTATCGGAGTTACTATTCTGGCCACCGGAGGTCGGAGGTCCAGCCACCGGCGCTTAGGTGGTCGCCGTCGGGGTCCGTCACCGGTGGCCGGAACAGTAACTCCAGCGGGACCTCCGTAGCCGGAGTTTTTTTGTTTAAAACAAAGTGGGTAAGGGAGGGTTTGAACCCAGGACCCCTTGGCACACCAAAAGACTTGAAACCACCAAACCAAGCAACCCATTCAATCATAAAATGCAAATAAAACTATATATAACAAAATAAACGCAACAATCCAAATGTAAGTGAACAAGTGAAATTAGACGATTTACAAGTGGAATTCAGAAATTTGCAACAAAAATTAGGCAATTTACAAATAACATAATAGAAGTCATAACCCAAAATGCAAGTATTTAAGTGCAAATGAGCAAGTAAAATTTGAAGATTTACAATAAAAGTTTATGGATTTACAACCCAAATTTGGCAAACACAAGAGAATTCACAACTCAAAATGTAAGTGTTTGAGTGTAAGTGAACAAGTGAAATTAGACGATTTACAAGTGTAATTCAGCAATTTACAACAAAAATTAGACAATTTACAAATAACATAATAGAAGTCATAACCCCAAATACAAGTGTTTAAGTGCAAATGAGCAAGTGAAATTTGAATATTTACAATAAAAGTTTATGGATTTACAACCCAAATTTGGAAAACACAAGAGAATTCACAACCCAAAATATAAGTGTTTGAGTGTAAGTGAATAAATGAAATTAGACGATTTACAAGTGTAATTCAGCAATTTACAACAAAAATTAGACAATTTACAAATAATATAATAGAAGTCATAACCCCAAATGCAAGTGTTTAAGTGCAAATGAGCAAGTGAAATTTGAAGATTTACAATAAAATTTATGGATTTACAACCCAAATTGGTAAACATAAGAGAATTCACAACCCAAAATGTAAGTGTTTGAGTGTAAGTAAATAAGTGAAATTAGACGATTTATAAGTAGAATTTAGCAATTTAACAAAAATTAGGTAATTTACAAATAACATAATAGAAGTCATAACTCCAAATGCAAGTGTTTAAGTGCAAATGAACAAGTGAAATTGTCGAATTTCACTTGCAAATCGATAAACTTTTGTTGTAAATCTTCAAATTTCACTTGCTCATTTGCACTTAAACACTTGCATTTGGGTTATGACTTCTATTATGTTATTTGTAAATTGTCTAATTTTTGTTGTAAATTGCTGAATTACACTTGTAAATCGTCTAATTTCACTTGTTCACTTACACTTAAACACTTACATTTTGGGTTGTGAATTCTTTTGTATTTCCCAAATTTGGGTTGTAAATCCATAAACTTTTATTGTAAATCTTTAAATTTTACTTACTCATTTGCATTTAAATACTTGCATTTTGGGTTATGACTTCTATTATGTTATTTGTAAATTGCCTAATTTTTGTTGCAAATTTCTAAATTCCACTTGTAAATCCTCTAATTTCACTTGTTCACTTACATTTGGACTGTTGCGTTTATTTTGTTATATATAGTTTTATTTGCATTTTATGATTGAATGGGTTGCTTGGCTTGGTGGTTTCAAGCCTTTTGGTGTGTCAAGAGATCCTGGGTTCAAACCCTCTCTTGGCCACTTTGTTTTAAACAAAAAAACTCCGGCCACCGGAGGTCCCGCCGGAGTTACTGTTCCGGCCACCGGTGACCGGACCCCGACGGCGGCCACCTAAGCGCCGGTGGCCGGACCTCCGACCTCCGGTGGTCGGAACAGTAACTCCGGTAAATATTTATTTTTTAATAAAATAAAAAGGGAGGGGTATTATTGTAATCTCACTCTAAAAATTAATATCAGATTGGTCCTTTGGTCCTGTAGTGAGGTTTCAGAAAGTTTTAGAGGCTTTTTAATATTAATTGTCTTCTGCGGTCCTACAGTGAAATTCCCCCTTAAATATAACTTATTAACTTATTTTGTCTCCAAAATTCATAATTTTCACCTCATAGTAATCCTTATTATATTATAACTGTACATATTAAAAGGTTTCTATTAAATAGTACTCCTTCAGTCCTAAATATAAAACCCTTTTTATAGTGTAATTTACACTATGAAAGAAGTCTTATATTTAGAATCGGAGGAGTAGTACTTATTTATTATAAATAACTAACTTATAGACAGACACATGGAACGAAGGAATCACACACACGATTAAGTGGGAACAGTGTGAAGGAGATCGAAGGAGAAGATGAAGATGAAACTTGGCATTTCAAGGCTCTCAAGTCTTGTTCCAATCCTGTTCTCCATTGTTGTAATAGGCTGCTGCTTGATTGCTGCTGAAGGTGGTGATGACTGCAAAGAGAGTGGCAAGTTGCCAGGGAAGAACCCCCCACCTGGGAAATGCAACGAAGACGACAACTCAAAGTGCTGTGCAGAAGGCGAGAGCTATTCCATCTTCCAGTGTTCGCCGCCGGTGACTGAGCAGACAAAGGCCATCCTAACTCTGAACAGCTTTCAGGAAGGCGGGGACGGCGGAGGGCCATCAAAATGCGACAACATGTATCACTCCGACGACGAAGCGGTGGTGGCACTTTCAACAGGATGGTTCGGGTCCGACGACAATAATAGGTGCCACAAGAGCATCATTATCTCTGGCAACGGAAAGGAGGTGAAGGCGACGGTGGTGGATGAGTGTGACTCCACACAAGGCTGTGATGAAGAGCACGATTTCCAGCGTCCATGCCGTAATAATGTCGTCGATGCTTCCAAAGCAGTTTGGAAGGCTTTGGGTGTGGACGAAAACGGCAAGGACGAGCCTGAAATTGAATGGTCCGAAGCGTAGAGAATATATATATATATATATATATATAGTCACGAGAAGTGATATGTATTTCTACAATAATCTATCCTATGCACTGGGGGCTGGTTTCCAGTGTGATAGTGTGTATTTGGCCACATGCCAATTATATATTTTAAATTAAGATTTAAAAATTAATTATTTTTGTAATTAACGTTGTTTCACGTTTTAATTATTACCTCGCAAATGAAAACTCTCTTTAATGTATATAATTAATTAAAATAGGGATAATTTGAGAAAAATTTACAAATTTCAAAGACAAACTGTTTTGAGCTATAAATTTAAAACCAAAACAAATTTTCCAGTTAACTCTTGCCTTTATCATTGGCAAGAATATTCAAAGAGTCTCTTGCTGTTATTTTTTCGACAATTCTTTGCATCCTCTCATACAAACTTTACAAAAATTAGAAATAAAACAAACATTATAAAGAAAGACTCAGCCCTTATTGTGAAAATATGATGTGAAAGCCCTATTATGCTTTAGAAAAGTTCTAATTCTCACTTAGAGATATTGCATTATGAATGTGACAAGTAGGGGTGTGCATGGATGGGGCAAGGTAGGATAGTACCTCTGCTTGATACCCAGCCCGAAAGATGAGCGAGCTGCATTTGATGCTTAGCCCTACCCAGTAGAAGCTCAAGCTATTTTGGCGTGGGCTATTTGTGGGCTCGGAATGATGCGCTTTTCTTGCCCCAGTTTACAACTTGAGTTATGAAGTTGCCGTATATCTTAACAGATATCCATGCTTTAAGAATTTAACAATATTCATAATTTATTAAAAATAAGACAGTAAAAAAATTGTAATTAAAGTCTTAAAGTTCAAATGATTTGTATCAACCTCCACAAAGTTGAGAAAATAACAAAAAATTTAAAAAAAATACAAGCTATATTAACATGTTCAATTATATTATTAACTTATAGTTTAATATAATTTATAAAGATCTATATATTACATTCAAATGGGTATAATTAGTATCATTTCATGATATATGAAGTAATATCAACATGTAAAAGTTAAAAGACAATTATACTACACAACAAGATAATTTTAAAAAGTTAAAAAAGGTGGTATATTTTTTTTAAAAAAATTAGAACTTTAAAAATGTAAAGTCTAATAATATAAAGGAGTAATGTTCCTTTTGGTTATTGAAATATAATAAATATAGTATGTTAATATATATTATAATATGAATAATTATATATATTTAGAGCAAGGCCAAATGGGCAGGGCAACATGCTGTACCCAAGGCTCAGCTCTGCCCGTGAATAGCCCAACACGAAAATGCCCTTTTTTTTAGGGATGCATCTTTTGGGCCAGGCAGGGCATTTTTTTGGCGGGATTGGCTGGGCATACTGGGCAATTGGGTCTCATGAACACCCCTATTGACAAGAAAACAATACAAAACTCCATGTATGCCTTGCCAATAAGTGTAATTTCCGGAATTTGAACTTGTGTTCTTCTCCTTACGAGGTGAGACTGCTTACCATCTCAACCAACAACTTGTTGGTATTAACACCTCATAGTCTAAGTATATACTACGTTCAGTTATTAATATAAGATCTAATTAACTAATTTAAGAAAAATTAAAAAGTTATTAAACTACTTTAAAATATTTATATTTATTGATTTTCTTCAAATTAATTTGCCTTACTTATAAATTAATATATAGTCTAATGATACACATAAGTGTTATAGCGAAATCATACAACATATGATATAATTAAGTGATTTAAGAATTTTATTAATCTCTCTAAATTAGTTAATTGTTTCTTATATTAATGATGGAAAGTAGTATGAATTTTCAAAAGATATTCACCAGGCCATTGCATAAAGGCTCGTTGAATGATTTCTTTACAAAGATCCTCTGTTTAATTATGCACATTTGATTTGTAAATAAATAAAAAAACTGTCTGACCGTTTGATTGTTTGAACTAATTTGGTGGAAATTTTTGAATGACTTGAAAATTGGGAGAAAAGTGAGAAAGAAATATATGAATGAACGTAGATATATTTATATATAAATGCATACTTGAAAATTTTTTTGGGGATAAATTGCTGGATTTGAGAACTAATTATACCTCTTTTTTTTTTTCCTCTTTTCTACTTCATATTTACAATAGGAAAAATTGTAAAGAAATTTTAGAATTGAAAAATTTCATATAATGACCCTTTTATAAAAATTGTTGTCAATTACTTATCAATTCATTCAATTGTTGTCAAAATTAATACTTATGTTGTAACTGTTTTCTATTTGTAATTTTTCTACTTTCAAGGAAGGGAATTTATGGACTTAAGAAAAAGGGAAAATTTCACTGTAGGACCGCAGAAGACAATTAATTTCAAAGAGCCCCCAAAACTTTCTGAAACTTCACTGCAGGACCAAGGGGGCAAACTGATATTAATTCCACAAAGAAAATGACGCTATTGCCCCTCATAATACTTATTGCAGGGTGACATGTAAATGAACTAATTTCAGTTGTAAATAAAGGTATGTATGTTGTAAATTGACTAGTTCCACTTACAAATGGACTCTCTCACACTTATTCACTCACAGGCACCTTTTTCAAGTGAATGAGGTGATATGTAAATGGACTAATTCTAATTGTAAATAAATGTATGTATGTTGCAAATTGACTAATTCCATTTGCAAATGGGCGCTCCCACACTTATTCACTCACGGAGACCTTTTTCAGGTGAAGGAAGTGACATGTAAATGGACTAATTCCAGTTGTAAATAAATATATGTATGTTGCAAATTGTCTAGTCCCACTTGCAAATGGGCTGTCCTACACTTGTTCACCCAGACACATTTTTCAAGTGAAGAAGGTAATATGTAAATGGACTAATTTTAATTGTAAATATATCTATGCATGTTGTAAATTATCTAACCTCACTTGCAAATGGGTTCTCCCATACTTGTTCACATGAGGGGCAATAGGGTCATTTTCTTTGTGGAATTAATATCAGTTTGCCCCCTTGGTCCTGCAGTGAAATTTCAGAAAGTTTTGGGGGCTCTTTGAAATTAATTGTCTTCTGCGGTCCTACAGTGAAATTTTCCCTAAGAAAAAGGGGGTCACCTATATAGTTGATGGGCCTATCTGCTTTCACCGCTGCTTCAGGCCCAAGGTTTTGAGGAGTGAGAAGATATTATCCATAGACCATAATTGAGAAGGAACAAAAAAAAGAACCGGACACTAAACCAGGTGAGATAGTGGTTCAAAGATCAATTGGTCGGATCGAGATCAACTCGGGATCCAACCGGTCATATTACAATAATATAATTTAATTAAAAATAACAAAATATAACAACATTAACAATTACGAATAATAAAATATAAGAAAATATGACAATAATTTGATTATAACAATAACAAAATATAACAGCATTGAGAATTTTGATCTTTATGATTCATCATTAATTAAAATTAATAATCATTGATACCTAAATTATCATTAAAATTCATTTAAATCTATAGGGACTGATATATTAGGAGTTGTATGAGAAAAAATAAGACTAATAATAGGCTAATCATTCAAACTAGTTTATTACTGGTTTTTACTGGTTTTCACCTATTCATACCGATTTGACCGGTTCTCTACCTGTTCAACTCCCTCCCGATTTAGTATCCAAACCGAATCGGGCCACTAACCGATTCACTGGTTTACCAATTGAACTGGCCGGTCTGAACCAGTTTTTTATTTACTGATAATTAGTTAATAGGGGTGTTCAAATAGGCCCGTCCCAGTTTTGGCCATATTGGGAAGGGACGGATGAGTTCTGAAATTTTTCGGGATGGGCATCCTGAAAGTATGATTTTTTTAAAATTTTTTTATCATATTATAATTATTAAATATTAAAAATACAAAATATTTAAAGCATGTGTAATACAAAATGTTTATATTTGTAGCTTTTAAGACATATGTAGTTGAATGGTTATTATTTATTTAGAGTTTTTATTGTTGCTTATGATTTTTGGAGTGGTGAAAATGAATTTTAAAGTTATTTTGTTACTGATTATTATTTATTTGGACTTTTTTTTAAGAGAGCTAAGCCCAAAGAAATCAAAAAAGAAACAACAAGATGCTTTCAAAAAGGCTAAGCCCAAAGAACTAGAAATAGAAAGAGAAAAACAATCAAAGTGTATTGTAGTAGATCCAACCACAAAACAAAAATATTTTAAAAAAACAAAACAAAACAAAAGGCAACGTCCTAGTCCCGTCCTGTCCCTACTGGGACTGGGGCAACACCGGGATGGGACAGGACGAGACATGGAACTGGTTTCCTATCTTGTCCCTCTTCATTGGGACGAGACCAGGATGAGCTTGTCCTAGTTCGATCCCGTCCCATCCCGTCTCGTGAACAACCCTATTACCTAATGAGCCTAGATGAATGTTAACTGTTAAGTAATAAACTAATTCCTGTTCTTTGCATTGTGATATTTTCTTTCTTTCTTCTTCTTCCTTTTTTTTTTGGTATAAGCTTTGAGTCTCCCTATTGAATTATGAGTGTTAATATTAAAGTCTTTCCAATGAATATGTTTCTTGAAATTTGATTCTACGCATTGTTATATTTTCAATCCAAAGACTTTGTACCAAAAGAATTGTTAAGAGTTTAAAATTTGAAATAAAATCATTTTACCTGTTTTGAATTCCTGTTTGCACCATTATTTTGAACAATCATGTATCGGTCATAAAGTCATGATATTTTCACATATTTTGTAAAAACTCAAAATCCTATAATAGAACTTAAATTAAAGAAAGAAACAAACTAAAAAGTTTTTTTTTTAAATCCTTAATTAAACAAGAAAGGTTGAATGGTTGATAACTAATTTTGAAATAACATAAGTCGATGACATTTCAATACCCGAAAAAGAAAAGGTTGCTGATACATGGAAAATTTTATTCACATGATAAAACGGTACATAGCATACAAATGAGGGCAAATCATCACTCGAAATTCATGCAAAAGTGAAAAACAATAACTTACATTACAATGGA